GTTTGTGAACGACTTTGCAACTATAGCTGCTCCATTGCATGATTTGACGAAAAAAGGCCAGAAGTTCGAATGTACAGTTTTTTGCAGCATGCTTTCAAAACATTGCAAGAAAAATTGGCTTCATCTCCACTTTTAAAGCTTTCAAATCCCTCACTGCCGTACATACTGGATTGTGATGCTAGTAATGTCAGAATTGGAGGAGTGTTGTCTCAGAAAGTGGGCGAAAACGAAAATGTGGTGGCCTACTTCAGTAGGGTCTTGAGTAGACCAGAAAGGATCTACTGTGTAACATGGAAGGAACTTCTTGCTATAGTAAAGAGTCTGACATATTTCCATCCTTACCTCTATGGGGCTAGGTTTACCATCAGGACAGACCATGCTGCATTACGCTGGTTAAGATCATTAAAGAACCCAGAGGGACAACTGGCACGTTGGATCGGAAAGATAGACCAGTATAATTATGATACTGAATATAGAGAAGAAAAATCTCATAGAAATGCCAATGGACTGAGCCGAAGACCCTGCAAAAATGACTGCAGACATTGCTGCAAAAGAGAGGTTGAACTAACTGAAGAAGTTGATGATGGTGAAATGGAACCAGGTATAGATATTAAAGCAGAGCATGAAAAAGATCAAGATTTAAATCCAATAATTGATTTTCTAAAAGCAAGTGTTTTGCGCCATGCTTGGGAGAAGGTGTCTAGTTTAAGCCCTGTGACAAAGAACTATTGGGCACAATGGAACCAGTTGAAGCTTGAAGATGGTATTCTTCTCTGGAGATGGAAACTGCAGATGGGAAAGTGACGACCTGGCAAACAGTTATACCGAGAAAGTTACGGAAGTTGTGCTGCGTCAATCCCATGATAGTTTAACAGGAGGACATCTCGGAGTTAAGAAGACTGCACCATTCTTCCACATCTTGCCTCATACCTATCCAGTAAAATCTCTGTCGTAGGTGACTCAATGGACATGCAGTACATGTTGTGCTAAAAGGGGACCCAAGCATAAGGGACGTGCTCCAATGAAGTTATATCAAGTTGGCACACCAATGGAAAGAGTAGCCGTTGACATTGTTATCGTTAGGAGGACTGGACTTGGCATTACTTTTACCAGATAATCTAAAAGAATAAGCCCAACGAAAGATCAATGTTACAATAATATGTAGAAAAATATCAAATCCTAATATGGTGATACCCATGTTTTTTGGACACTTATAATGATAATATAGCCCAGGAAATAAAGGTCTTTTAAGGAGGGGGTGACCTGGACAAACTTACGAAAAAGCTTAGATTTGTCATAAAGTTGTTATGGGACATACTATGTAACGTATCAAATATCCCTATACATTCGACCCTTGCTTCCCCCATTGCCTCTCGAACCTCCTAATTGGGGAATTCTGACTTTTTACAAATAAAATTCGATATCTCAGCAACAGAATGAGATATGTAAAAAAAGAGTTTAATGTGCATACAGTGGGACATCAGAATACATTTATTATAAGACTCCCTATCTTACAGGGAACTTACTAAAATTTCTAACTTTCATTATTATTATTACTTTTTTCAACACTATTTTCATGAATATCAAAATACGGAATGAAGATAAGGGATCAAGCTGTCATAATGAACCATCAGCAGGTACTTAGTAGAATAACGTATGAGCCCCAAGGTCTTTTTCAGCTTAAATCATAATTCAAATGTGAATTAGCTCCAGACCCACCTTTGTTTGATGATGTCTCACTGCGAAAGTCTTGTTAAAATACCATCCTGATAAACCCGCCACAAAAGAAGAGAAAAATTATCGAAGATCAGCAAAGTGAAACTCGGCTAAAATAAGATTTAATGATAACACGCAAACAACAACTCCACAAACTGACTCTCTGGTATATTATTCCAATAAAACGACTGCTTGATAGCTGCTTATGTTGGTGTGCATATGGCAGAAGATTTCAATTTGTCAAAAAATTACCGAGGCTTTGAAAATGTCAGCGAGTAGAAGTGCTGCGGTAGTAGTTAGTTAAAACACCAACTTACTGACATTAATGGTTTCACTTGTTTGTGTGAATGACACATTGTAGTTTTCAAAGCCAGCAACAACTAGCAAACCCAACGAAACATGCTGTATTCCAAATATTGTAGAGTTTTTTTTTTTGGAAACGCATAACTCTTTGCTATTCATTCATTCCATAACAACATGTTATGCCACTTCAGATATCTAATGTAAAGACAAATTGAAAGCATTACAGGTTTTGAAAATGAATCCTGACCAATAGGAATGAATACAAGTATTTTGCAGGAACCATGCTACAAATAATTCTATGCTATTCCACTGCTTAGATACCAAATTTCAAAAGCGGGGTGAGTGGGTGGGGCAAGTGTCGGATTCTTGGGAAGTTTTTATATTTTGAATAATATTTCCATAATAGCCTGAGCAAGGAAGCACGTTATACTAATATAATAATGGGTAGGCAAACAACGATTTATAAGCATAAGGAATAGTTTTTATTGATGGTGAAATATAATACATGTTTTGACAAAACAAGTAGTATGTTCTGCCACCAATAAAACGCTTTCTTATACTTATAAGTCGTTGTTTGCCTACCTATTATTCCATAATAACCTGATGATGACAAAACCTTGTCGAAACGTTGCACATTTGCTGTTATGTTAAACTTATACTAAACTTTTTCTTCATTACCCATTCAAGCCGTTTCCAACCATTATTCGTGCATAAATTTCACCTCTTGCCTTATATATATATATATATATATATATATATATACATGTTTGTTTGTTTGTTATGAATTTCGCGCAAAGCTACACGAGGGCTATCTGCGCTAGCCGTCCCTAATTTAAAAGTGTGAGACTAGAGGGAAGGCAGCTAGTCATCACCACCCACCGCCAACCCTTGGGCTACTCTTTTACCAACGAATAGTGGGATTGACCGCACCCTATAACGCCCCCACGGCGAAAGGGCGAGCATGTTTGGTGTGAAGAGGATTCGATCCCGCGACCCGCATATTGCGAGTCGAGCGCTCTAACCACCTGGCCATTCCGGGCCTATATATACATACATCTCCTTACAGTATACGCAAAAATCACCTATAAAGAATTTAATTAATTAATTATTTCTTTCCACGCGAATAGCGGAATGGGCAGGGACATGGGCGCCCACAGGAAGAGGCAAGGGGGTCACTTGACCCCCTGGGTTTTAAAAAAGAAAAATTACTAGATATGTAAAATTATTTTTCTATGTTATTGGAAAATCATAAGGAATTTGTATTTCGATTTCTTAATGTTTTCAAATTTGAGTTACTTGACTCCCCTATTTTTTTTCTGCGGGCGCCCTTGGGCAGGGAGGTGCGCCCCTAACTTGCAAACATATGTATAAAACATATTCAAAGGTGTAAAAAATAGTCTGAAATACTATTAAAATACATCATTTTTGTGAAAATTATAAAAAAATTCGAAGGAGCAAGCCCCTGAACCCTCTAGTACGACTTCGTTATTCAGTTCTTTTTATTCCGCCAAAAGTAACAGGGTAGCAGCCCTTTAAAATACTTCTACGTACGCCTTTGATAACTACTATACATCATCATAGTTCTATTTTTACCAGTAAAACAATCCGTCTCTCGAAATAATTAGGAACATTTTAAGATTATAATACAAATTATCATCTAAGAGAATATCTGAAACAAATGTTAAACAAAAGAAGAGACAGTGAAACATACTGCAATAGAAATAAAGTAAAATATATTAAAATAACACAGCAACTGAAACATATACTAAGAAACATGAAAGAGAAAAGTTTCAATGTATAAAAATAATATTTTAAATTTATAAATATACATATTTTTAATATAATTTTTCTTTGAGAAAAATATAACAAATTTAAAAAAATCAATCTTCTATATAATAATAAATAGTAACTTTGGTGTCACGTTTTCTTACAATCTGACTGTAATTTGTATGCTGTCTCTTCACAACGTGGTTAAAAAGGTGTAAAGATGGGTCGTATGCATGCTCCTGGGTAAGTTGAGAAAAATATCATTTCGTAACACGTATTTTTGTTGTTTTTTTGCAGCATTTTGATTTTCTGTTCTACTTTTTTAATGTAATTTTGTGGGAAAGCTATAACTACGTAAAAGAGTTCCACATGTTATGGAAAATGCCAAAGTGGAACATCGAAGTGAAAATGGCCGCCGTTTTTATTCACTGAAACATAACCTAACGTTAGGCTTAGAAGTAAGATGTGAACGCATAAAGTTAAAAATATTAAGAACTTGACCACTGGGCCCATCGAGATTACCCATCATCCAATAACAATATTATGCTAACACATAAAATAGAATCCTTCACATCAATTTATTTATCCAACAAAAGCTTAACTTTGAAGTTTACTGTTTACGAATTCAAATTAACTGTACCGTAGTCTCTGGAGGTACTCATCTTTGCTCTCACGCTAACCATGTTACTTTCGAGTCTTGGAAAAGCACCCAAGTGTCCCAAGTATTTTAAACGAATATGTACGTTGATTTTAACTCTATCCTTATGTGTAGGGCTTAGGTTTTTTCTTCTTTTTTTTTGTAAGCTTTAAATTTTAATTTAAAATTAAATATTTCAATTTCCAACCATCAACATTGTCATTACCACATTGCTAGTTATACTTATACTTAATGTATAAGCAGTGTTAAGTCGTCAGTTTATTAATCAGTGTTTGCTTTTGAGTAAAAATAAAATGTCTTGGCCATGTGGCTAAGTTGTCTTAATTTCAGATAGCCACAATAGCTAACATTTATTGTTTATCATAGTGGTTATATTTAAGCTAGTTTAAAATGTGGTTTATATGGCTATCTGTGTGCTATTATTAATATTAATGCTATTCATGTGCAGATAGTGAAATTGTTAGAAGAAAGATACTATCAAACATAGTGGAATTTTGATACTTACCAAACGTGCTATTGGCTTGGTGCTATATCTGAAATACAAAATTCAGTATTAACTTCAAAATGTGAATTATATAGGATCTACAAGTGTAAGAGTAAATAGGCCCAGTTTAATCATAGCATAACCTGATCAACCTAATTGAGACTTGAAAATACAGTCCAAAATCATATTGTTGCACATTTGTAGTGGTTATTGCATAAATATAGCTTTAAACTTTTTAAAGTCATAGGGAACTATGGACATTAAAGCAAAATGCAGACAAAAGATCTCAATTTTATTGAAAACTATGTTAAGGTGAATAAAAGAGTGTAAATATGGCCACTGCCTTCATTTATTGGTTTTATATGATAGTAGCTGAATTGTACATAATCTTATGGTCTGAAAATGTTGAAATACTTAAAACATGTTTTCATCTTGTATTTGGCACATCTGTGGTGCCCATGGCTCACACTGAATGAGTATTTCTGTACAGTGTTACAGATCAGTGAAATTCTGCATAGGTTATTCAAATAATCTATTATTAATCCTGACTGCCAGTAAAACAAAAAGGTGTGAAAATTACAAACCATTGGAGCTAGCTTTGCATCCAAGGCAAATTGTTGCATAGTTAATTTCATAGAAAGTGACAGAAAATTTTTGTCTGCAATACTCTAGCAAACAATGTGGATGTTGAAGCAAAATTGGACAAAATACATCAATTTTATTGAAACTATATGATGATGAATAGGATTAAAAGAACAACAGGAAAGCAGTTCTCTTTCACAGGCTATTTTTCAGACAGGTGTTAATATGCAGGGAAATAAACTTTTTTTTCCTCTTGTGTTTCAGTGGACAAAATGAAACAAAAGAGTGCATAAATGTGCACTTAAAAAAGAAATTCAAGGAATGCTGTGAGGGATTGGATTTTAAACTTTTACCTCAATTACAGCCTTGCTAAATTATCATGAATGTAGTGTACCTTTGGAAGTATTGTTTTGAAAAGCTGTAAGGCACTGATACATAAGTTTCTTTTGTCAACTACATTCTACAGTTATGGTTAAATGCCTAGATAGTTAAAAACTTATTTTTAAAAATACAGTTGTAGGTTGTGAGAACTTTAAATAAAAAATGTTTTTAATATACATATGTTTGCAACATAAATTTATTATTCAGGAACAGTTGACAACTGGTACCAGAATTACTTTGTTTCTGATAGAGAAGGTATAGAAAAATGTATATGTACACTCTGGAATATTCTAGTGACATGTGGGTAGATAGTACTGGCTTCTTTCAGGCAGTGTAAAAACTGAGATATTACTGTTATACATACATTTGTAAGTGGTAAGGTGTTCTAAAGAAGAAAAAAAAGATGTATAAATGTTGGTGGTAAGGTGCTCCATTAAATAAAACTTAAACATTTCTTCAGAAATCCACAGGGGTGAGTTTTCCATCTTTATACAGATTTCTGTATTATAAATTTTGAGGGAACTATTAAAAATTAAGAGCAGTGTTTCATGTATTATTGTAAATACAAACTTTTTTTTTTAATGTGTTCTTAGGTGGTAAATGCCATTTCTGTTAACTCTTGTTTATTGTCCTCTTTATTTATTTTTTAATCTACATTAATTTATTATTGACAGTATGATGGAGGATTTGCCACAACAACTCTTTAATAAATCTGTTAAAAATAAATATTGTTGGCAGTGGTGCAAAGAAAGAGATTCTTTAAATAGACTATATGCACAGTGGAAAATGACATTCCTAGACAATGTTTTTGTATTGTTTGCTAAATTATGGAAGCAATGGCAAAAAGGTTTTTCATGATCAGTATACAAAAGATTAATGACGTATCAGATTACTCTCAGTACAGCTAAGCAACCAAACTCTTAGAGATTATGAGACAACTGCAGGGAGAATAGGCACAACAGATTGTGTGGCATACAAGTTACCAGTGTGTGTTTGTTAGTGAACACTTTGCCATTTGCCTTAGTTCTTGATTTGATTGATTTCTGCAATAAAGTTTTGGGCAACAAGCACTCGGTAAACTTCACATGTCAAGTAAGTGTAGAACACATTAAAATTATTATCTGTGTGGATGGAGTGATCTCTAATGCAAAGCATTGTTATAGTTAGGTATTCTTACATTGTGGTGTTTAATTCTGTTGCTCCTATCTGCCTTTGAAGTTATAATTAGTTAATATTCCATGTCACACAAACAGTTCTTAATTAAGTCATGGATATCTAATGATGACAAAACTAGATTGTTTTCATCTAACTCAAAAAAAATAGTTAAGAGTAAGGATACAGTTAGTAAACTACACACTGCTATAATGAAATTTAAAACCATTTAATTCATAAAATGTATTCTGTCTGGAGACAAAAACTGAGTGAAATAATAATGTTAATTATCAAGTTGCTATTTAAAATGCAATCAAATGATACACAATGTTTTTTGTTTGCTTTCCCATTTGCTGGTTTTCTCAATGCCTTATAGTTTTAGTCTTCAATTCTTTGCTTGTACTTCCACCCTGAATCTATCAGAACCACTTAATTGATTGATCATAATATTCATAATTGTTCAAAGCAGTAATTAAAATTTTTCCTTGAAAAAAGTGTGATAGGTTTAGACAGGTTAAGCCTGGTGTGTTTGGAAATTTTATTTTTTGTGTGCTTTATAATTGTTTATTCTTTAATTGGGTAATATATCTGTTCAGGTAAAGGATTCAGTATGTGTGTGTATAAATGTTATTCACAAACATACACAAAGTTGGTATATGCAGAACATCCATTCATATTTCTGATCATGCCCATAAGAAGAGGTTTTTGTTGTTTTAGATAAAGCAAAGTATGAATGTACCTGTAATTTTCTTTCAGTGACATGTACTTTTAAATTATTTAAGGTATATTTTACATTTTGTTTTAAATTCAATATCTTAATTGAACTTTTTCAGCAAGGGTATATCCCAGTCAGCAGTTCCTTATAGACGCAGTGTCCCAACGGTAAGTTATAATTTTAGATTGTCTCATAACAGAAGATCATGCCTTAGAATGGAATGCTCTTTCAGTTTTTGCTGTTGTTACTGCACACTTGAAAGTATATTAACATAATTGAACTAATTCGGGAATTGTATAAACTGAACAAATACAAAAAAAACTACCAAAAGTGAAGTATGCTGGTGCTATTGAAAATGTACTAATCTTGTACAACAAAACTTGATAAAACAGTGCTATACTCGAATATATCACTGAACAGTTAAAAAAAAAGTTTTTTCATTCTGAGGTGAAATGAAATAAAACATTTCCTATCATTATTGATTTATATGGTATAAGACATTTAAAAGCATTGAACATCAGTAGATCTAACATTTGTGATAAAAATCACAAACTGTAGTTTTTTTTTCTCGCACTCAATCGTAATTCTCCATTTCAAATTAAGAGGTGTGTAAAAATAGTATTGCAGAGCTACCTTTTGTCTCTCGCTAATCACTGCACAGTAAACTGTCCATTCAATACCAGCGTATGGAATGAATACATTTTATAAGGGGGAGGGATCCTTAGGTAAATAAATCATGTGCAAGACTTCTTTTATAAGAAATATGTACCATGTCAAACCACATAAGTATCACTTGTACTGAATGTATATGCCACATCAACCTGTGTAAACATCAAACTGTATATACCGATGAAGAGCTATGAGCCATGCCATGTGAAAGCAACATTTCTTTGTATACTGACTGACCATTTTATTAGGATTCCCACTTAATACTGGATGAACTACTTTTCATCATCATAATAGCTTATACTTAATAGAGCAAACTTGACAAATATTACGGTTTCCTCCAAGTGACTCATTTATGTCAGAAAAGCAAAGGATTACGATGGTGAATATAAATGGTTAATTGGAAATTCTGAATAAAATAGAGTTGTAATTTTGTTGGTCAAGGAAGGTGACTGAAGTTACTCTTTATTTGTTTGAACCAACTTCATCTGTACAAGCATGATTAATTATAGAAGATCTGTTGCCCTGAATGGTTAAAATATAACACAGCATATAGGCATAAACATCCAGGTACTTCAAAATTAGAGGACTCAACACTATCAGAAGAATGTTACCTATATCATTGCAAGACCTCCAACAGCTTCAACTAATGGAACAACAACAGCGTTGAGCAGGTCAGTTGTTTCGCATGGTTTTCTCCTCGTTATCAATCCTTAGTAGAGAAAAGGGGAGAAATACACATTATACTATGTCACTATTCTCTGCCATTCGTTGTTCATAGATTGTGAAGCTTGGGATAAATATTCTTCCAAAAAACTTGCAGATTTTTCCTTTGATTTTACTCCTAAAATTATTCATTGCTTTTTCACTCTGACTGATGGACAAAAGTGTCATATCAGTATGGCTTCAGCAACAAACCCAATAGTCAGTATATGAAGTTTCTTTTTCCCTTTCTTTTCCTTTTGCTTCCAATTTTTAATGTTTTTATGACTTAGAATTGTTCTCAAGTTTTTCAAAATCCCATCCTTTTGGACACTTACTTGGAAGAATATATACACACTTATTGCACTTGCATTTTTCTGTTTGCAACTAAGATGGGTCATATTTAGGCTGGTTCTGTTATATAATAGCTTCTTTAATGCACTCCACCTAGTATAGTTAGATAGTTAAACAAAATCAGTAAGTTAGAACACGCTCGTCTATTGCAATCAATAAAGTCTTTAAAAATGGTCTTTTGCCCTTTATCAGCCACCACTGGTATCATTATGATACACTGACAGATTTGTTTAAACAGCTGTCAGAAAAAAGAATAAAAACAGTGATACTAAAGGATCATTAGCTATATCAAACTTTACAGGTATCACAATGTATTGACAGAAATGCACGTATCGTCAAAACATCAAATTCGCTTCGAATATGATATCTTACATCATCTCTATATGTGCAGATTGTTTTTGCTTGCCACTCCTTGAAACCCCCACCTATCCCACATTTCTTCATGGTTCAGCTGCATCGTAGCATGCAAATAACCATATGACAACTTTCCATCAAGAGGAGAGTGACACACACTCCTGTTGCAGCTGGCTCTCTTTATACTGTAGAACCCAATCTTCATTCTTGATTTGGTACAATAGTGTTAATTTTTGCTTTTACTGACAACTTGACAGTTGTCTTGAACTTCGATTGACAAGGCGGCACCTGTTCATGTCCACAGTATTTCCAACCTCTAGAAATCCTGTTCTGTGCCCAAATTTATCACAAATGCTTAGTGGCATGTCATATTCCAGGGGCATTGCATCTCATAGCAGTCTGTTAACCCTTTGATTGCGATCTACTTGCGTTGTAGGTAGGTATGCAACATCCGTGAAAGTTCTTTATAAAAATGAAACTAGTTGATAAAATAGTTTTAAATTTGACTTGAACAGTCCTAAGATTATGTACTTTTAGAAAAATATTTAATTTTGATTTTTTTGTACTATTTATAATAAAACATTCATTATTTAATCTGAATAGTTGACATGCAATGTGATTTTTACTTTTAGTATAAAAATACTATTTCGTATCTTAGAGTTTTCACATTTCATTTGCATAATCTTTAGAACCTCCTAAATGAATATCAAAAGTTTTTAAGGTAAATGTTTATATTTTGTTTTCCATTTTCTCTATTATATCATTAACTCCAGATATCATCATCAACATACAGTGCAATAAAATGTTTAAAATTAAGAAATGGAAGTAAGTACATAACTTTTAAATTTTTGAAGAATAGTTTCAAATTTCTTTGTCATATGCATAATTTCACATCTTTATCTTTTCACTTGTAGATTATTTTTAATTTTGTTTTTTATTCATTATCCCCAAGATCCACAACATGTCCTGTGCCATGCTCCATTGTTATTATAGGACAAATCTGAGCAAGTCTCATGCACAAATTCCAAACACTTGCGCTCTCACACGCGAATAACGGCATCCTGCTTAGACATTTTGGTAAACTAAACTACAAGTTAAATGTATAAAAATCATAAACATTTCAAATATGCATCTTAAAACACAAATAAATACATAATTAATTAAGATATTAATGTAAAATCTAAATGCAATTCAACTGTTTAGAAAACTAATACACATAAGGCGAGAAACACTTACCAAACATTACATACCCTCGAGAGACCATTGGACTAAGCTTATTTTCTATTTCCTACTCCAGATCCATACACAGGTAGAGGTTTCTACGGGCTATAACTGAATAGTGTGAAATATGCTCTTTCTATTGGTTATAAACATGCCAGTCAACTTCAAAGTGTCGCTTGACAACACAGCTTTGACTTTGCAAGTGGGCGTGGCTGACCTTAAACTTAGAAATATTAGAATGTTGTTTCTTGGAAGTTTCCCCCCAACTAATGAGACTGCTAGAACTGTATTTTCACTGTCTATACTGACAGTCTATTATTAGGAACCCTTAGTTTCTTGTGGACCTCTTAAACTTGAGAATTTTAACCACAGTGGATCACATGACAGCAAAAACTGCAGTTTTAATTGGTGTTTCAGATTTTTATTTTTAAAATAAAGGAATAAAACTTAGATAATAGAAAACCTTAAATTATAATGTACTTCATAATAGTAATTTCATTAAAATTTCACCTCATTTACCACTTCCTTTTTCAAATTCCTTCTTCATCAATTTCAGTCACTGGTGTTTCATCCTGTAATTACCACAATCTGGCTTCACGCACAGCTTTTGTCTGGTCTCCTTTGGGGCAGTCTGGACTATCCACATGTATGGCTTCCATCTTTTTACATGCTGTACACCTTGTTCTCTCAAGATATTTCAAAGAAAATGGTGTATTTTTGTCTTTAGTCTCTGCACCATGATTACCCTTCTTCCCATTCAAATATTCCTTGTGTCTTTGATTTTTTTTACTTGGCTGTTCAACTTTGGTTCTTCCGTATCTAATCTTGCTGAGCAGTCTTCTCCAATACCTTCCATTTTTCCTGTAACTGCATGGTGTTTTCTTCTCATACCATTTCCCCTTTTTTTGTTTGTTCTTTCAGGATCGTTCGCCCTCTACTCCTTCCAGTCGGAAACTTAAAGTTGTTCTTTACGCCTTTACCAAACCCCATTCAAACCTGCTACCTATGCCATTTATCCCTTACAACCCCTTTTCTGTGTGGTTGTTGGAGATCAGATTTTTTGCCATTGAAGTATCACATTTTTTATCAGAAGACCTTAGTTCTACAGTATCTAGATTACAGGTTTCTCCATAAGATGTCAGCAGCTTGTGCAGACACATCTCCTTCACAACAATTTCTGTACCTTCCATTTCCCAGTTATCTTCCTGTTTGGATCCAGATAGTCTTCTATGCCTTATGCATGATCTCAGATGTTATATTGTCTGCACAACTTCATTCCATGGTTCCTGTTCTCATTTATTTACCTGCTGGAACCTTTCCTCTCTAAGTGATGTTTCACTCACCACCCTCACAAGTTTGATTTGCCAACTTATCAGGTTGGTGTATTCATCCTTATCTCCTGATTCCATACAATTTGTTTTATAGGTGTCATCAGATTAGACATCTCACCTTTCCCTGGCTGCCCATCCACATTGTTATTTGAGGTAAATCATCCAGGCTGGCAGGTGGACCACAACCAACACATTCATCTCCCATCAGGTGGCCATTTTGACCTCATCTGGATATCGCATTACACCTGTAGCCATACTACACACATCAATTCAACTGTGATTTGGTACATTTATTAATTTCTTTTTCCTTATTGGGTCACATTCGTCTTCTATATTGGATCCCACTATGTGGCAAGTGATGCCTGTCCAGGTATACTTATTCCTAAATCTGCATTGTACTGACACTAAGGTCAATAATGCCCACCATTGAGATGGGGTGTTCTGCTAGACTGCTGGTAGGTTCTTTCTTGCAGTGTTTTGTGTCATAAATATATCTGTCCCAGAACATACATTCATGGATTAGCACGAGTAAAGCAGAAGGGGATTGCTGCCCATTTCTGCCTCTCCTTCAGTTGCATAAATCAGGAATGGTCTGCTTGTAAAAACAGGGTTTCGCAGTCACCCATTACACTTTCTCTGTTGCTGCATTCCTCTGAACTCTCCAATGCATTATTTCTCCCCTTCTTCCAGTGGTGTACAGGAGTCTTTACCACTTAACAGCTCCTAGCTGCTCGGGTGGTTGACCATGGAGGCTTCCTCCTGAGTGTACTCAATCCCACTCAGTTGAGAGTAGGGACATAGTGTTCTGCCAGTTTAGATGGCATGACTATCTTCCTACCACAGACCAGATGTACAATTCCAGATGCCATGTCGTTTTTAGACTAGAATTTTCAGTCACATGCAGTTCACCCCTCCAGCTGGGAACCCTCTTTCCAACCACCACCTGTATGTTGGTTCCTGGGTGACTGGTGATGGTTTGAACTGGACCAGCCAACATAAGTCCTCGCATGTGAGTGAGCTGTGACCCTCCTCCTATCGCAGACTGGATGATGTATTCCAATGGCACGTGATTTTGGATTGCAGTTGACCCATCACCTTGCTTTCTACAATTGTCTGGATGTTGGTTCCTGGGTTGTCTTGGTTGTGTTAGGTATGCACACATGATAGCTTAGATTCTTGGAACAGAAGTGCTCCTTCCTTTCTGGTTCCTGGGTCTGAGGTGAAGATGGTAGAGGACCCTCCTCCTCTCATGGTTTGGATGATCTATTGCTGGTACCACTGGTTTTGGACTGGAGTTGACCCCCTGATTATGGTCTGACATGCCATAGCCACTCAACACCATGGTCACGTCCAGCTACAGTTGTTTGAGGACCCTCCTCCTACCATTGACATGGTTACCCACTCTCTGATACACCTGCTTTGGACTGGAGTTGATCTCTCGTTTACAGTTGGATAATCATGATTGAAGACCCTCCTACTGTGGACGAGATGATCCATTCCCAGTTCCACTGGTTTTGGACTGGAGTTGATCTCCCAACTATGGTCTGATGTGCCCTGTCCACTGTATACCTGGGGCATGTATGGCTAATTTTTGTCTCTTTGCCACCCATTTAGAGACATTCATTTATCAAGGGTGAAGAGTATACCTGGTTCAGATGTGGTGAGGTCTCCCCATGAGTGCTTTCATCTAACAAGAGAAGTTGTGCTCAATGGGTGTTCTTTGGATGCTTTCAGAAGGGTGCTCATCTAGGTAAATTTTGCACCAGTCAGTGTGAGATTCTAGCTTATTATGTGAGAAGAGGCAAGATATCGTATCAGAAATTAATATTTTTCTTTACTGAAAATATATATCCGGTAGTTGCCTCCGCTCATGCTTCCCAGTCTTGTTCCCAATCTCAAAGTAAAGATTGAGTTCTACAGTATAGAGGGAACCAGATGCAACAGGAGAGTGTCATGCTCATATTTGTGGAGGGTTGTCACATGCTTATTTGCATGTACAACAAAGCTGAACCACACAGAATAGTGGGGTAGGTGGGAGTTTCAAAGATAGTAGCAAGCAAAAAATTTTGCACATATAGATGGCAGCACTGAACAAGAAATGCTATTATGTGAGACCAGGTAAGTATGTATCAGAAATTTTCAGTGTAGGAAAATATTAACTTTCCATAAAGCATTCATATTAATATATTTGATAGATTCAATTATATTCTGCTTAAATTTTATTTGTATTGCAAAAAATATTTTGACTTGTTCATGTTTCCTCAGATCTATTGTAAATACATTGTTTTGTTTTTTTAAGCCTAGTAGTGAATAAAGACCTAGCTTACCCTTCAGTGGTGTTTGTTTCTCAGTTTTGAGCATTTCTTTTTTCAGTGGTTAAAGTTAACTCCAGATGATGTAAAGGAACAAATTTGTAAATTGGCCAAGAAAGGTTTGACTCCATCTCAGATTGGTAAGTTTACAAAGATGTTTTCACTGATCAAACTGACTTAATACAGTGGTTAACTCTCAATATGGAGTCTGTCAATGTGACAGCATGTTAATGAAATTTGGTAGATTATCAGTAACATTACAATGTTTTCACATGCAAAATATCAGTTGTTTTTTTTTATTGTCTTAAGGTTTATAAAGCAATGTTGTTCTCATGTCAGTAAGCATGTTAATGAAATTTGGCAGATTATTCATAACATTACAGTGCTTTTATATGCAAAATATAATTTTTTTGTCTTAAGGTTTATAAAGCAATGTTTTTCTCATGTCAGTAAGCATGTTAATGAAATTTGGCAGATTATTCATAACATTACAGTGCTTTTATATGCAAAATATAATTTTTTTGTTTTAAGGTTTATAAAGCAATGTTTTTCTCATGTCAGTAAGCATGTTAATGAAATTTGGCAGATTATTCATAACATTACAGTGCTTTTATATGCAAAATATAATTTTTTTGTTTTAAGGTTTATAAAGCAATGTT